ACAGGCATGGCTTTGGGAAGAAGACAAGAATTTGAGATCTGGTGTGAGGAAGTATGGYGAGGGAAACTGGCCTAAAATACTATCACATTATAAATTCAACAACCGAACAAGTGTCRTGTTAAAAGACAGATGGAGGACTTATGAAGAAACTAAAATTCATTTGCTCAGACAGTGAAAACTGAATGTATTGGTTGAAGCTTGATAAAGGACGGTTAAATATTTTGATCACTACATTTTGTTTGAAATTTATTGGTTGTTGATGTATCTCRAAATTTTTGTTTAAAGCATTATTTTTAGTTYAGCAAAGATTTGTGCTATAGAGTAAAATTGCATGCCTCATTTTATTCTTCAAGAATTTTTTAATCTTGATAAATTGTAAGTATGTTAACCCCTACCAGCTCCCCTCCACCTTTTTTTTTTCTAACTTTTGAGATAAGGTCTTGATAAGTAGTTCAGAGCTTTGCTAAATCTCTGAGGCTGGCTTTGAACTTGCAATCCTCCTGCCTTAGCCTTCTGAGTCGCTGAAATTATAGGCATGTGCCACCACACCAAGCTAAATAAAGCTTCTTTATAACCTTCTTTATAATTCTCTATAAATACTGAGTTATCTGGTATGCTTTGGTTTAATATGTCAATATTGGACATAAATAGTATTCTGTAAATGCTTAAGTTGTATTCACCATGATCATCTTTACATAGTATTAATAAATAAGGTTAAACATACCTTACTAGACAATTTGAATTTTCATTAATTTATTTAGATGTCTTAGTCAAATATTAATAGAATTATTTAGCATTTTGTGTTATGTGATTTGTTTAGCAAACAAGTATTGAAATATTGAGGTAGTTGTGTTAAAATCATATGTAATATTTTATGATCTTGTCCATTTCCTATTAAAGTTTTTTACACTAAAAAAAAAAAGAAATTCTATAGTTGCATGATTACTTMACATACAGGTCTTTGCTGATGTTCCTTCCTAGATCAGCTTCAGTTTTAGTACATTTCTATATTTGTACCTACTAAGGAAGGCATTGAAATTTTCTGGAGTTGGAGGAAGAAAGAAAAATTAGATTCAATCTTGTTCATTGCAAAAAAAAAAAAGAAAAGAAAAATGTCTTCTTAGCATCTGCATGGATTATCTCTGGGAAAATCAGTTTGAARCTTTCTTGACTCTAGAAAAAGGAAGAGAAGGTTTCAGAAACTCCAGATAAAATGGGCATTATAAAAGAGTTCATTACTTAAGGTCCACGGCAGGAATCTAGGATCAAGACTAATTTTATACCTGAAAATAACTTCTTATTACATTAGCTTCCAGAATTAACGGTGCATGGTATACCATGTCTGAGAATTCTTTATATTATAAATGAGGTTTCACTCTAATCAGAATTGCATGTGGCATCTATCAATACTACCATGCATTAGACATTTTCTGTAAATACCAGAGAAATCCAATACTAAGACTTAGATTAGTTTTTCAACCTCAGTACTACTGATATTTGGGGCTTCATAGTTCTTTTGTTTAAGGGGCTCATCTATAMATTGTAGGAATTGGGGCATCATTCTTGGCCTCTATGTACAAAATAACAGTAATGTAAATTTTCTCTCCCAAAGSAATTTCTCTGGATGGTGCCATATTGCCCTAGGGTGGTTGAGGTGGTAGAGGACAAAGAGAAGAAGAAAATTGCCTCAGGTTGAGAAACATTGGCTTAGATAGAAAAATGTGAATTTCATAAAATGGGAACCCATTCACGTGTACTCATGGAAGCAAAATTTAGAAATTTCACACACAACCTCACTTGTGTAGACACAGCCTCACTGTCTGGGCTTAAAGCCAGAATTAGAATTAAGTATCTCCCAATTCCCTAAGACAATCAGGAAACACATTTTTCTACCTCCCTCTTCTCTACCCTGACACCATTTCTTTTGGACAATTAAACTACAGTACTTTAGGCTCCTTAGAGAAAAGCTGCTGYGTAAATGCAAAGTAATAACGGATAGTGGCTGGGAAAGTAAAATAAAAGAAACTATACTAAAAGGCTAACTATCTAAATTGAGAAGTCCAGGCCCATGAATGAATATTCATGGACATATTTTCATACTAATATACTAAAGTAACATCAGACTCCTGCTAGCAGATTAATTCAGAGCCAAAAGAGACATCTATTTTTTGAAGCTGGAGACATTGATCTTATGATGATGATCTATAACAATAACTGCATTTCTACAATAGAAGGTGAATGCTATAATCATTTTAAAATGATAAATGCTGATGGTGTGGTGGGTTGCATGTTTATTAATTTGATTTGCTTTAATGGAATTTTTCCCCTAAGGGTCCTGGTGGTAGGCAGCAAACTTATAATACATAAGAATGGTTGTTCTTACTATTACTTTTATCACAGAAAACATAATCGCTGAACTATACTTTAGCACCATCATGAATATTAAAATACTAATATTTTTCTGCCCAGTGGGAATTTGAAAGTTTAGTGATGAAATGCATGTTATGGAATGGCAAGTTTCATTGATTCCAGAGAGAAAGAAAAATGCAGTTATATGTCCCTGAAAAGAATAATCCTGTTTAATTAGTTGCTGTATTGTAGGCTTGATTTCATTGTGAAATGGAATAAGTAGTTAATTATACTACAAGTTTATCTAGTTAATTTATTTGATATCTACCTGAGTTGAATAGTTGATTTAAGACTAATATTTTAATCTTGATAAGAGTTAAGAACAAATAATATTTTTGAATGAAAGGATGAAGGATTTTAGGAGTAATCTCCTGGGTCTACCAGTCTTTTGTCTCCCTACTACTCATCTGTTCTTTGTCTTGGCCACTAGACCTGACWTGATCACATGGGAATCCCTTTTCTTCATTTATCCATTTACTCATGCTAATCTTTTAGCTGGAAATACCTCAACCCAATTTTATTTAATTAATTTGTATTTTTACTTATTTATTGCTCTTCTGGGAATTTAACCCAAGGCCTTGCACAGAGTAGGTACCTTCTGTAACACTGGAGTACAACCCTACTCCTTTTTATTTTGAGACAGGGTCTAAGTTTCCCAGACTGACTGGCTTTGCAATCCTMCTGGTTCATCCTCTTAAATAGCCAGAATTAGAGATGTGCACCATTACTCTTGGCCCAACCCATCTTTTATTAATTGTTTAAAATTTAGTACCCTCCTCTAGATTTTACCTAGTCTATGAAATTTTTCCTCTTCTCCTTTGAGTAAATTCAGTCTCTTCTCCAGTGGTTATCTCCTTTCTCTGTTCSATTTATAATAGTTTATCACTTGTACAGCAGATATTGTAATGTGAAATTAACATGTTTATTTACTTGTTTCTTATCTGTATTTCCTCTCCCTTACCTATACCAACTGTAGGTAACTATACCTCTGAGTTTCTGGAGGAAAACATTGTCTGACTTTTGCTTCATCCCTATTTTTCATCTCACACCTAGCTGTTGACAAAACTTATATTGAGAAAGTAATTATCTTGTTGTAATTTTGCTAATCCTGTGGAATGGGCAGCTCATTTATGCATAAAATAAAGCCATTTGATGCTTTTACAATACTAGGTACTTTGCAAATGATTTGTAAATAAACAAGATTGAACTGAGGTTTAGACATGGATCTTCTGATCTTCTGGATATAATTCTGAAAAAAGATACACTATAGGAGGGAATATATTTTTGTTTCAAGATATTTGGCAATGAAGGACAAGAGAATGTATCTATGTTCAAGTAAAACAGTTCTTTAGTATAGGTGTGACCCGAGATGTTTGGAAGGGGAAGAAATTCATTGGTAAGAAGGGTTTGAATGAAAGAGGACATGGCTGATGATGAACTTGTAGATGGAGAGAAGGAATTAGTACAAAAACAAAGGTAAAGTTTTGAATGAGGAAAAGAAGATGGTAGATTTCAAGGGTGTCCTATTGTTAAATACCATAATTCTTGAACAGGGCTTACAGGGCTTTCCATTACCTAGTCCCAGTTTCCTTACTCTCATATCATAAACTTCATCCATGGCACTTTCTCTCAGTTCTGTTATGTCCTGAAGGCCTTCATTCATGCTCTTCTCATGAGCCATAATCATCCTTTCTTTTCTCCTGTTCTGGTATCCAGTTCTTGCTGTAGATGACATTCCCAGAGTAATGTTTTGTGAAAATTTTTGTTGAATGAATTGTAGTCAGATGAGAAAGAACGGAACATAGACTAATATACAGATATTATAAGGAGAGAAACTCAAATGCATTTTATATCAGGTATGCTATTTTTCTTCATGCTTTGCAGAGTTAAAATTTTCAGGAAAATACAAAATTTGACAACAGACAAGATGGAGAATTCAACAGAGAATAAATAAAGATTCACAGATTGGCCAACAAGTCATTTTTGTTTTAAATCTGAGAATACCAATCAACTTCTTCAAGTTTTTCCCTGCCACATTAGGACACACCTGATACAGAATTGACAGAAGAAATCTCTAAGCTATGTAAGAGAATTAAGAGAATCACTTTCGCAAAGTGAGCTCTTTTGAGTTACAAAATATATCTATTTTTATTCTGATA